GCACTAATAAATAAAAATTGAGGGGAAAAATGGCCAATGAGGCCATGAAAAAAAAGGAATTAAAAAAATGGAAAAGGGCTGGGAAAAAGGGGGGAAGCTGCGATTGTAGCTCTTGAGGAAAAGCCCTGATTCAGTCCCAAGTGCCACACACACAGAGGTAAAGGGATAGAGTAAAGGTGCCTCCCCACCCAGCCAGCCACTGGCCTCCTGCAGTGTTACCTGTAATCAGACAGGTGGGAGACAGTACAGAAACTGCATGGATGATCCACAAACTGAGCATCTGTTCTTTTATGTCTTCAAAGTGTATTTTAGCTTCATTGAATATTACATTAAGAATAATGATTTTTTTAAAAGGGAAGAGAGAAGCAGTAGAAAAATTTCTGTGCCTCATAATAAGTTTTGTTATCCCATATATGGGTTTAATAACTACTTAAATTATTCATTTGAAGTATCATCAGAATTGTGTGAGAGAGCAGCATATTTATTGATTGACCATATTTTAGTTTAACATGCTGATTTCTTTGAAATTGGCTAACAAAAGATTATTCTAATTGAGAGTCAACTCTACATCTGAACACCAAGTGGCATTTAAAATGCCTCTGTAGGGCCGGGAATTTAGCTCAGTGGTGCCACCGCCTGCCTCACAAGCGCAAGGTCCTGAGTTCAATCCCCGGTACCAAAAAAAAAAGGAGTAAGAGATAAAATGCCTCTATAAAATTATTCATACCACCGATTAGATTTTATACTCATTTTTTAATTAAGTGGCTTTGCTGTATGGAAATGAGTGATCATCTTGATTAGTGTACAAAGTGATGCCTCTAATTAAGGAAAATGCTCCAATGATGTCCTAAATTGTTTCAGATTGCAACAAATCTTGATGACATATATCGCTTCATGAATGGCACATTTTTTGGTGTTCAGCAAAAGATTTTATTGAAAGAAAAAAGTCTCTGGGAAATAACTGTCGAATCACTTAGATACCTGACAGAAAAAGGACTCCTACAAAAAAGCCCTATTTTGGAGTCTGAAGAAGAATTGCAATGTAATTTTCATATTACTAAATTGGGGAAAGCTTCTTTTAAGGGTAAGATTTTACCTACATCTCATTATAACCTGAGGAAATGCACTAGGAAAAATAGAAATTAAGTTGTTCTTTCTTTAAAGTGCATTTGTAGTTTCATATTAATAGCATTACTCTTTCCCTCCCTAGTAAAGGTGAACTATGTTTATCTTTCTTTTAGGAACTATCGATCTGGCTTACTGTGACATTCTCTACAGAGACCTGAAGAAGGGCCTTGAAGGTCTGGTGCTTGAAAACCTTCTTCATCTAATCTACCTGACAACTCCCTATGACCTTGTTTCTCAGTGTGACCCTGACTGGATGATATACTTCAGGCAGGTGAGAATGGAAGAGTTTTCAACTTAGCCTTTGCTCACTAAGGGTAATACGATGTTTATTTTACCTTTCTTCTCTGTTGACAAATACTGTGTTTGAAATCGGTGCTTTTGTCTTTCAGTTTTTAAAAATAGTCATATGGTAACCAGTATCTTTTTTTTTTTTTCCAGTACCAGGGATCAAACTCAGGACCTTGCATTTGCAAGGCAGGTGCAGTGCCACTGAGCTAAATCTCTGGCCCAGTATCTTTGGTTTGTTCAAATGGAGCATTACTTTTATATTAAATGTATTCAAAACAAAATAGATGAAAGGGCTATCCCGGTCCTGTTTCCCCAGAGACAGTTCTGCCGAGGTTCATCTTAATGCCCACAGTGCAGAGAACGTAGGGAAAGCTGTAGCTGGTGACTGAGGATTTAGTCATCTGAAATCTGTCAGAGCCAAGCACTGTAAGGCCCCAAGCCCGAAGATGTCAATCACTACAAGGGATATTTAAATGAATATGAACAGTAGCGAGGTGGGACTGGCCCTCTTGTGACAAAACCAAGGCAGGGACAGCCTATTATGACTGCTGCGCACAAGTGGGCTGAATGGCTGAATGAACACAGAGAGGCAGAAACAATGTACAGCTTTTGTTTCCTTCCATGCTGAGGATGCTAAGGCAGGGACAGCCTATTATGACTGCTGCGCACAAGTGGGCTGAATGGCTGAATGAACACAGAGGAGGCAGAAACAATGTACAGCGTTTTTTTTTTCTTCCATGCTGAGGATGCCCAGGGCCTTGGCTTTCGTGGATGTGCTCTACTACTGGGTTACACTCCTAGTCCTACTCTACAGCTTTGTTCTTTTTGATACCAGGGATCAATCTCGGGACCTTGCATTGCAAGGCATGCGGCGGAACCATTGGGCTAAATCCCGGGCCTAGGAAATTCACTTCCTTTTTAATGTCGTATTTGAAAATAAGTACTGTAGGATTTTTTTTAAGTGGTACTGTGTAATGCAGTTTCTTTCAAGGACCTATCCTCCTTTCCCTTCTCGCTGGTCAGTGCCAGCATTGAGCGTCATCACAGTCCGTGGAAGCCGGCACTTGTGGCCGTGTCTTTAAGTGCAGTAATGGGGACATGTTCTCAGAAGTGAAATTTAGTTGTGGAGATGTGTTCTAAGAAGTACATTGTGAGGCAGTTTCCTCAGAGTGTGCACCTCAGAGTGAAGGGAAAGGAGCACAGCTGTCACTAGCCTATATCCTATCATCAGGCCACAGTCATATGTATGAGCAGTGATTGAAATACTCAGTGAATGTTTAAATTTAAACACATTTTTTACAGTAGAAGACACATCGCCAGAAATCTCTCTCAGAATACTCCTTCTTCAAGTGCATGTATCCCCTCATCCTTGCCCTCTGAAGCAGTTCTGGAAGTCCAATTTCATGAGTGTCTCTTAAGGCATAATCAGAATATGGTGAATGCTGCTGCTTACTGCCAGCCAACAAAACAGCAGGCTCATAAAAACATGACGGTGTGTCCTCATCCACCTCGTTCCCTAGATCTGGTACCGTGTGACCTCTGGCTCTTCCCCAAAATCACAATGACCAGGAAAGGGAAACGTTTTAAATAAATGCAGGATTGAGGGAAGCCACAACAGCACAACTAAAGATGGGAAAGACTTCTAGAACTACTGCATGAAAGAGTGATGGGATAAGTGTGTTCAAAAGCAAGCGGGATTATTTTGAGGAGGATTCACGGCAATGTGTCTTTTTTTTTTTTTTTTTTTTTTGTTTTTTTT